GTAAATGACGACTATTATGTTCATTATTACATCCAACAACAAAACACCTCAATCGCTTAGGAGACATTCTTGTCTACACCTGCTCCGGCATCGAAACAATGGTGGACATTTAACAGCTCACTAAGGGCGGGTCTACGTTAAAACGGCCATGTCAGTCAATAGTAGTGGGAGGGGCCTGTGCAGAACTACGTCACTCTGCCAAGAATCTCAGAACAGCCTGATCTGAGAAAGTGATCATTATTATTGGGGATTTAAAAAAAAAAAACTGGGTGGATTTTTATCATTATAGGGTGGATGTGTACACACACTGCCAACACACATTTATGTTCAAACAACATGTAAAAGTGAATTTTGCATCCGATGACCCCTTTAAACTTGCTAGTTGGTGGACACTTACCAGTAAACCATAATTCTCAGGGTGGTACAAATATGCACGGACGCCAGGATTGTTCGAATATGGCTCCAATAGACTTTTGATAGGTGTAACAGCAGGTGTGACAAATATAGAGTTCACAGGTTTCCCTTGAATAAAAGTATGAATGGGACATAAATTAGTACGTTCAATGTTCTGTATCCATAGTATAGGCTATCTGATTTACCTACTACAATCTGAGCAATATACTGTTTGTCAGAGCAAGTAGTTTCAAAGACTGCATCCCACAATGTAACGCATTCACCACTTCCATGTTCATAAATGAACAAAAATTGTCAATAATGAATTTTTTCTATATTTCTATTTCTACTTGACTCGTGTTTAGATTTTATTAAAAATATATGTTCTGAGTAGGTCTGTAAAACAATTAATCGTGATTAATCGCATTCAAAATAAAAGTTTGTTTACATACACAGTACACACACATATAGTATATTTATTATGTATATATAAATACGCACCCATCCATGTATATATATTAAGGAAAAATACAGTAAATACACATATATAATGTAAACAAACTTTTATTTTGAACGTGATTAGTCGCGATTAGTTGTGATTAATCGTTTTAATTAATCGCCCTAGTTCTGAGGAAAATTCTATTACCTTGTTGATCTAGCAGAACCATTATGCTGTCTCGATGAGTGTGACCGTAGAATTGACCCTGAACGACGTCACTGTAGTTGCGAAATATTTTGACCAGTCGTTCATTGTAGCTTTCCCGGACGGCTGTTGTATTTATAGCATAGGGTAGGTAACCGATGGGGACGTGAGCAATTACATAGACCTCAGAGGAAAAGATGACAGTGAAATTAAGGTCAGCAGTCACTCACACACCACTGCTGTCACTTACATGTGCATACCACTATGCAAATGTTAATTTACAGTCTTGTAATAAAATGGCCCTGTATGATCAGTGCAGCGGGTTCTTTCTAAAATTAAAATGCCTTGTAAAAGCAAACTGAATATACTCACCTTCTCCAGCGTTTGTCTTGACAGCTCAAGTGTTTCCTGCAGCCACTGGAACTGCCCAGCAGGGTCAGTCATATTTACAGTCACTTGATTAGGACTGTAGTACAGGTTTGTGTTGAGACTCACCAGACGGAGGCCAGGTTTGATCACAAGAGAGTAAAAGCCACCTTTACGCAAATAAGTGACATACGAAGAGCATTAGCTTACTATATTGTCACAGCTAAAGTCCACTGTAAAGTGTGCACACCACAGTCACAAGGAGAGAAAAAAAAAGCTAATATTAATGAATAATATTTGTGGGAAAAATATATGTAATTTTTTTAGTTTAGATTTAAATTATTACATTTTATATATATTTTATATACTTATATATAATTTTGTATATTTTTTTCTCTGAAAAGAAAAAAAAACAGTAGCTAGATGAACAATTTATAATGCATATTTTGCATTATACTGTCGTTTGCATCTAAGTATTTTAGCAAGACTAAAACTCTGTATTGACTAATCGGCATCCATTTTTCTCCAAATAATCAAATCATTTAAATGTTCACACATGTAGTGGAACATCTTCCTTATTATCAGTTACCTTTTTGCAAAGTAGCTACAGCTTCTGGGTTCAACCACGGAGACCAGAGTTTGGCTGCAGCATCGTAAATCGCATTTGCGAATGTTGGCAACTGATCCTAAGAAGTTTTAAAGCAAGATTTTAAATTTTTTTTTAAAGATTCAACACAGCATAAGCAATTTTGCATTTTCAGAATACTATTTACTAGTTTTAACATTTCAGCAAAAGACAGAGCAAGAAGTTTCAAAAATGGCATCCCATAAAAATATTAATCAACAAAAACATTGGTTTCAACATTGATAATAATGCTAAAAAAATTTTAGCACCAAACCAGCACATTATAATGATTTCTGAAGGATCATGTGACACTGAAGACTGGAGTAATGATGCTGAAAATTCAGCTTTGCATCACAGGAATAAATTACATTTTAAAATATATTCAAATAGAAAGCAGTTATTTTAAATTGTAAAAATATTTCAAAATATTACCATCTTTTCTGTATTTTGATCAAATAAATGCAGCCACTCAGTTCCACAGATAAAGTGTGAATGTTTGAAATGTTTTTCATCACATAATAGCTTTTTTTTTTTTGCATTTTTATTTTTACAAAAAAAACTTTGAAAATATTTTTGAAAAAAAAATTTTTTTCAGTGTATACAAGCAGTATGCAAATTTTCCATTCAAACAACCCAAAACATTTGGACTTTATTTGACCCCAGAACTATTGTCTTGGATTGAATTCCTAGCCAAAAATTGTAGTTGCCCTTGGGATTGAAATACCTGTGGCCAGTAGTCGTGGTTGCCCAGGGCAGGATAAACTGGCAGCTGGGGGAAGAACTGACGTATGGTGTGAGTCATATTGGCAATAACATCAATCACTACATCAGTGGACAGTTCTTCTTTCGGGACGTGAGGAGGGCTGTCTCTGCAATGAAGGGCACAACATTTAAAGAAAGAAAGTGAATAAATATATTAAAGAACAAAACCATAATGTGTTCATTAGCTACCAAATTCAGTTATCTCCCATTTAACCCAAGTAAAATCACAGAACAGACACAAGCCAGTAAATGAGACCGCTTTATACCCTGTCCATATAATGAACTCAGGCTGCAGGTCTGCTTGTTTCATGTAACTGAATGCTGAGAGAATGAGCTGGTACGGGGAATCACACAGGAAATCACCAAAAACTCCTGGGTCCAATGCAGGAACACCCTTGGAGGAAAAACAGACTTTGGTGTGGTCTTCTGTGATATGGTAGGTTGGATCCAAGTGCAGGTCTGAGATATGCCAGAATTTAGCTGGAATTTAAGATGCTTGTGTTACATTCATTTCACAAATATGTAAAATACTCTCCTTATACTGTACACTGATATGTCAAATATCGTGTCTCATTCAGGAGCTGTGGAGATATTTCACTGCAAACCAGGTACAATGCTAAAGCATGTCATGCTTTCAAAGTGCACTGAACTTGAAATGAATTCTTAATGAATCCATTATGTATCTCTTTAGATTGACTTCCTCATGCAAATATTTTAAAAATAATCTAATTATTTGTTTGACCCAGTAGACAGATATTATTGGCTGTTAACTGTTCAGGGAAGAAAAAATTAAGGTACTAATATATATATATACCCCTAATTATACATACATACATACATACATACATACATATATACACACACACACACACACATATGCACACATACACATACACACACACACACACACACACATATATACACACTAGGGGTTGAACGACTTCTGATTTTTTTAAGTCGACTTTTATGTGATGAAAGTCGAGTCGAAGTCGACTAGTCGCTGATGACGTCA